GCAGGACAACACGTCAAAGTCATCAGAGATTTCCCCCGTTACTGGTGTGGTTTTTTTAGAAGAAGAGGGGCGATCAGCTGGACAATGCCTGAACCCAAATATACTCGTGAGAGATGCTGAGCATGAAGCATGCTGAGCATGCTCTCATCGCAGAAGAGACCTTTCCTTGAAAATGTGACTGTATTATGTTAACGTAACAAATCCGGAGGAAGGAGAGAGGTTTGCATGGATGTCTTGCTGTACAACATGAAATAGTTAGGCAAGTCTGACATTCTGATAGTAAAGGTCATATAGGATTAACTGAAAAGGGGTTTTTTTGGATCTTAGGCAGAGGTGAGACTCTCTTTGTCTTGTGCTTTGCACTGAAAATGATTTATTACCTGATCTCAGGATCCATACAGAATTGGCTGCTGGAGTACTAGATTATTTTTTTTTTCCCCGCAACTCTGAGGAACTCTGATTTTGCTGATTCACATCACTTCCTAATAATATCCAGCTATTTTTGAACATAGAGTTAATCTCTGATGCCAGTGTGGGATGCTACAGTGAAGGCACGATGCAAATAAAGCCAAGTCAATTGATGTTCTGTGCAAAGGACAAGAAATAAATGAATTGCCGGACTGGAAAGGAGACTTTTCAGGCCAAGGTATTAAAACCACTAAAGTTTTGAGGAAGGTTTTGTAGCAGTATGATGCAATCTGGAAAGCATAGTGTGAGTTAACCATTGCACCAAGGCCTCAAGACGTAGTTGTATCGCAGTGTCGTATTTATAGAGACTATGAAAACATATAATTAGGACTGATTCACAGACATGTTTTTGAACCAATTTTTCTTTGAGTTAAGGCTTGGCAGAGGTTTTTTTTGAGAAGTGGAGAGGGGTAAACTTTAACTTTAACCCTGTGAAACTTCATCCTGGCTGCCAGCATGACAATACTTTCTACTCGGGCATTTGCAAAAACGTAAGGTGGATAATATATTTTACAGTTACTTCCATAAATGCTTTTATCTCAGACTATCAGCCTCTCTGCTGAGAGGTCACACAAGGGGATACGAAGCTGGTTTCAGTCCTTGGAGTCAGACCTGATCTCAGAAGAATATATTGCTGAATGGGAGGAGAGGGAACTGAGGGTACTGCCCATGTTCGTTCAAGCTCCCAGTTGAAGTGATGCACCTGAGGTCAGCTGGGAGGCTTGTGGCAGAGCTAAGCTCCAGTCTCACGTCATCCTCGGTAGGTTCCTCCCTTGGGTTTCATCCCCTGCCTGTCTGTGCTGGGGCTGTTTGTCTGCTTTTTTAGCTGCAGAGGAGAAATTGTTGTGTTTAGCTATATTTTGTTAAGTTCTTTGCGATGTGATGGGAAAACATTCTCTGAGTGTCCCAGATAAACGTGGCTTTATTGGGAAAGGGTAAAGAAAGATTAAATGGAAAAGATACTCAGGAGAAACTGGCTATTGAAATACCTCTGGTGATCTTTTTTCGCACCTTTTACCATCTCGCTGACAAGCGTAGGAGTGGGCTGGGAAGCTTAATGAGAAAACGGCCTTGATAACTGAAGTCTGGCTTCAGTTTTCCATCACCTTAGGTAGTGGATCATCTTGAATTTTTCTATTTTTCATATGACCAAGGCATTAAGTGTATTTGGAGCTCAGTGTTGAAGCTACCCAGAATTTCAGAAGGTGAACCATAGGATTTAATGAAGTGATCCTTTAAACAATGAACCTTGAACCATAGGAGAGCAGTGTCATCCTGATTACGTGGAGATTTATGTTTAAGGGAATGCTTAAACCTGATTTCAATATGTAAACTGGTAGAAGCTTACTTGCTTTTTCTAACCATTTTTAAGCAATTCAACATCTTTGTTTTAAACCCAAAAGCCTAAATGGAATGCACAGATTGTCTTGGGGAGTAAATAGTAGTTGTAATGTAATTTTTTTTATTGCAAATATTGTTGGAGTTATGTCTTTAGGATTAAAGTTGAAGGTGTGCTACAATTCAAGCCTAGTTCAGCGTGACCAGAAGAAGTGCTGTGGGATTACAGGGGTATGTCTGTGCTTGGTGAAGTGCAGACATTACGGGATTATGTAGCTTTGACTAACAGCTGAGAAGGCTTTGAATAACAGCCACACGCGTACAAGCTGTACGCCAGATTCTCTGCTGTGATGCCAGCCCCTTTGAGCCATCTGATGGTGTAATGGAGCTGAAAAGTGGTAATATATCCCGATCTTCTGTTCCTCAACCACAGGGTAGTTCCCAGCTGCCACCGTGTTGGCATACCCAACGCTTAGACCCCAGAATAGGGACTCTGTCTGGGTCTACACTGGGAGTCTGCAAAGGAGGATGCGATTAGGTGAAGCATTCCCACCGGTATATTCCCACAGAGCTGTTCCAAGTACGCTAGGACCAGTTTGGTTCAGGAAAGGGAGTCATTATTAATATCCTCCAAAAATGGGTGTCCTGGTCAGAGAAGCTGTAGCTGAAAATTTGCCCCTAGCATTTACTCTTCAGCCAAAATAAAGTTAGATTTTAACCTTAAAACTTGACTGCTCCTGCAGATGTCCTACAAACCACTCGCTGATTCAGATTTACATCCCACCACTAGGTTGACTCATCAACCCCGAACAGATGGGTTTCTTCATCTGGCACTCTGTAAGATGAAGTGTGGGGTGGTTTTGTGCTGACAGAGGAAACACAGTTTTGTTGTCTCTGTGACAATCACCATATCCAATTCACTATGTATTGGGGGATTTCCCCTTTTATAGCGAAAGAGGAAAAAAAATAAACGCAGAGCACTCGGCTTTACGCAAACCAAGAACTTCCTATGAGAGACCACAGAAAAAGTTTAAGTCTTGCTTTTCTTTTTTTTTTTTCCCCCAGTCAGAAATTCAGATGATTATCATTACTTGCCTTGCAGAATACTGAAGTAGTTACATTAGTAAGTTTTTTAGGTTTTTTTTTTTTTTTCCTTAAAATGGGACCATGTAGTCAACGTTGCTGCCTCCTGGAAATGCTCCCATAGCCTTACAGAGGTGTGCGCCATGATTTTTCACTCTTACTGGTTTTGACTCGACAGTCAAAAGTGAGTCAGGCAGTGAGTGAAAGGTGCTAAAATCTGTTAGAATTCGGTGTATTTTCTGTGATGCTCATGGTGTCCTCCCAGAGCATCTGCCTAGAAAACCAACTTTCTCTCGTTTTGTGATTTTTGTAGTATTTTCTTTCCAAATTTGTGATCAGGGGTTCAAACCTGAGTGTGGTAAGCGTGTCACCTTACTGCGTTACCATGCGGTTCACACGGTAACAAGCCACCAAGATATCGCTTTCTGGAGAATTACTCTTCTCAGGTAGTGCTGTTCAGAGTTTTAATCTTTATTAGTATTGAAATTTAGCTGAGTTGATGCTTCACAGCTGAACGATGAGTCTGTGTGGTCCAAAACTCCCCTACTTGCCCAGCAAAACCCCCTTGCAGGTGGTTTAGGCACCTTTCTGCAGGTGAACCTCCCTTGTGAACGCGCTGGGGTTCAATGTCCCTCCGTGTGCAGTTCCTTGTCCCTGTCTCCCTGACCTGTGTCTGGTATCGGGGCTGCTGCCGGGCTCCTCTCACAGCCACGATCCACTTCTGTGCCAGCCCCTCTGTCCCACGGTTGCCGCGGCCACTCTCTGTCACCCCCTTTAGATTTGTGCCAAGACTGAGATAAAGCGATCCAGAACTGGGATTGCTCTGCAAAGCACTCCTTTATGTCATGTTTCTGCAGCTCTCCCTGCACAGAGCCAGCACGGATTTAAGGAGGCTTATTTGTCTGTTCTATGTGCTAACCCTACTTATTATGTATTTCTACAGCTGGAACAATTTCCTGCTCTTCATCCAGTTTTGAGCACCACCAGTTCAAAAAGACGTGGTTTTATCTTGTTTGCAATGTGAGGAAAGGTACACTGTTACCTCAATAGGGAGAAGTGTTGAGTTCAGTGACTGGGCTGGAGTTTACTGTGACACTGGAAAAAATATCTGATTTGATTGTACAGAGGTAAATCATGGAAATATATTTAGAGCTCTAAATAGCATCTCCTTATCATTTTTCATTAAATATGTGCTGCTTTTTAAAGCCCTGCTCTATCTCAAAGTGTAAATTCAAACCTGTGATTATTATGCCCTGTACTGAGATTATGCCCTGTGGTTAAGGAAAATGTCTGGACAAATGAAGAAACATGGATGTATGGTTAAATAGCTGTTAGGAGCATAAATGCCTGGCTAGTGGTGCAGAAATTTCCTCCAGATGCTTCTGTTTTCCCCCCACCTGATCCCCCTTTCCTTTAGTTCTCTGTTATTTACAGCGGTCTCCACTGAAGGAGTTAAATCTCTCGGGGAACTGACTCCTTTTTACGAGGAGAATACCAGACTTTGACAATTATCTGAAAATCTAAGGGCCATCCAGTGAGTTCCACGGGTTAAGGCAATTGGAAGCTCATCAGAAAGTGTACAGTAGAGCTAATAAATAGCAGGGTGAGCCTGAGGCATTTCACAGGAGAAAAATAACAGGTAATTATCACTTGAAAGATTTTACAGTCCCTTCATTATTTGGACTTAATTAACTGAGAGAGGCAAAATATTGCAGCCTGATAAGGTGAACCTTTGTCTTAAGAAAGGATTCGTGCTCTCTGCACGGGAAAACTGTTCAGTTGAATTAAGGCTATTAAAATTAATGTATATAGACAGGATGAAAAGGGAAAGACAAGGAATTGAAGGTGAAGTATCACTTTGCAAGATGCGGCTTATCAATACCTGCTTCTGCTGGTTTTGATTTCTAACTCAGCTGAGGGAATATTGTTCTTGGCTTTGCATTCTGTATTGCTGTAGTTAAATCATTATAATGGTTTAAAACCATTGTTGGTTATAAGAAAAGCCATAATCTTTTTTTTTTTTTTTTTTTTTACATGTATCTTAACGTTTCCGTGTTTACCCCAAACTGGAATTTCTCTGCAAGATTTCTAAGCGCTGGTTTATTCTCCAGGGAGCAGCTGGAGGTTCGCTTTGCGGCTGTGCATCCTCAGCCCTCAGCGACCCGATGGGGACTTGCTCATCTCTCGGGCTGCGAAAGAGACTGTCCTGAGCTGCAGAAAGAGCTTTTCGTACTTGCTGGGGACTTGCCTGAATTCAGTGTCACCTACCCGTAAGTCTGACCATCAGAGGAAAACCACATTTGACTGCGAGTCAAATCCACGAAGTGCGCGGTACAAGGCTGAATCAGTGCATTTCACAGCTAACATTTAACATCTCTCTAATCTAATTACCTTTAATAAAAAGCCTATTCAATTGCAATCTTAACTGGGCATTTAGAGGCATTCCCCGAGGTCTTCACACCCTTCCTGAGCCTTGACATTTTATTTGCCTTTTAGGTTTAAGGGAGAACAGAGTTTAAATGGCCGTCTGCTGTCGAGAGCCCCCACCAAAGCGGCTTTCTCTGGATTTGCCGGAAGGCTCCGTGCAAAAAAAAAATTAAAAAAAAAAAAAAGGTGAGACCAAGGAGAGGAGAGAAGAAGGAAACCTTCCGCTGGTTGCATGAATTAATGTGCTGTGAGATTTGTTTAACACAAGCCGATTTCCTCTTCTAAGTGAGGACCCCGGGACAAGCTGTGACTTCAGAGCGTGGCACTTGCGGAGGTGGTGAAGGCTGCGGCTGGAAGTCCTGGGAGAAAACGAGGGGAGGGGGGGAGAAGAGGGGGCAGTTTCTTGCTGCGTCTGTCTCCGTCAATTTTAGGCCAACTTTGCGGTGGGTAGGAACGAGAAGGAGGCAGATTTAAGATCAATAGCTGCGATGCTTAACCCAGCCATAAAGTAGCCAAGACGGGGGATTTTAGCGCAGAGATGGGAAGTGCGTGGGTGTCTGTCGGGGGCGGGGGGGGGGGAGGGTGGTAGGGGGGAGGT